TCTCCAATATTCATTCCAATCTTAATGATATATCAATTATTAAAGGCTAAAGGAACTTTTCTTGAAGTAAGTAACGCATTTTGAATTTTGAATCATTGTTCGCAATTTAATTAAATCTAAATATTTTTTTTATCTCATAGGGAAATAAATGAATATAGTTAACTGGATAGTTGACTCCAATTTTTTACTATTGACCACATATCTCTTACTAATTTTTTTCTTAGACTGACGTCAACATTACTAGTTAGATGTGACATTGCCAGTATTTTTGTTGAGAAGTCCTTGTTTAAGTTAACCCGTTAAGTCTAGATAATATGATAAGAATATTTTCTTATAAATTGCTTAAAGCCTTGACCTAAAATAATCGGAAGTCAGTAATAGAACAAGGATATTATTGAGTTTCACTAAAATAAAGGGCCAATTAAAGTTAGACAGCCACTGTAAAGCCCTTTTGTCCCTGTATAGGACCCCTCCGCAGTGTATATACGCGACTCCACAACCGGGAATTGAACCCAGAATCTTTGGTCTCACGCGCGAGTGTCTAGACTTTGAACCACTAAACCGAAATACCAAGCTGTACAAACCTAAGTTTAGTTAGTCCATGATAGAGCGTGACTATCTTCAACTGTCTTTGATGGGTACTTTTCTCACAAATGATACAGTTGAACTCGACTAGTTATAGCTTCTCATTAGAAATCCGGAAATCTCCTCTCGAAGCTAGACACTAGTAATTACATGTGAAGACTATCGAGTTTCACTGGAATAATGAATTCATCAAAGCTGCGAACTACTGAGGACAAACAGCAATCCAATGCTTTAAGATCTTCAGTGGTTGTTTAACTATTATCGATTCCTGATTTTAACGTTAATCAAAAATGATTTGTCTTCGGTTAGTTCTTCTGTCAGTGAACGTCCATATATTTACCATGATAGCAGTACATGCAATATATTTATATATTAACCGTTCATCAAATTCAATCTTCTAACCAGCTCGTCACTGTGAAGCACAAAAACAGAAGCCTCAATATTGTTTTAAGTTTTCGACTTGCATTGTTGTTAAATTTCAAAGCACCTACTCGACAGTGACTTTCGATAGTTCCTCAAATGATATCAGTTTATGATGAGTATATAAATTAAAATAGTCTCCACAAACAACTGAATCGACACTCAGTTTTTTAACACAGTTCAATGTCTTTTTACTATGGCTATGAATTTTCATGGAAATTGTGTTGATTCAACATATTTAATGTTTATCAGTATAAACATCTCATCACAATGATTTTTGTTACAGTAAGTTATAGACCATGAAGCATCTTTCTACAAATCATGTTTGACAGGTTTCGACAACATTTTAGCAAACTCTACTGCTCAAGCATTCTAACAGGGAAGCATTCAAGTTAAACTACAGATATAACATTGCTTTGTAAATGTTTTAGTCGATCGACTGTACGGACTGTGACGTTAGCACAATAGTAATAATTTTTTGATGCTAAAAATCAAAACCCTTAGTCTTTTAATCGAAATGTATTTCTATAACTTCTTACCCACACAATTAATTTCCTATTATTTATAGAGATTACGTTTTCTTACAACACCTGAAGACCGACCAGCATACGGGGATCAACAAATTACACTAAATGCTATTGGTGAATATGTACCAAAGAAAACTTCCAAAACAAATAAGTTATACGGAAATCCTCAATGATATCACGTGCAATATTGATGCAACTATAATATTCACCTCAATCTTCTAACTGCTAATTTACTATAACATAACTATACATTTTTTACTTTCAAGATTTATCATGTCAGACATGTTCAGAAAGAACATATCTATATACATATGTATTTATCTTAAATATACCAACTCTCTCCTTTTTTTGCTTGGACCAATACCAAGTATACACTTATAGTAAAAACTTCTACAATTACTCATATAATTACAAAATATTATCCTTATCCTAGATATTCATACCCTATACTTTGAATTTCAGATAATATGAAACTGTTCATAACTATGAGTTTGACAGGTCAACGAAAACTAAATCTTTATTTTATCATTAGCTACCTTAAAGATCTGTTGTGTTTTTTTTTATTATCTCAACGATAGCAGCATATTTGACTATCATGTTTCAGTTCATTTATCATTTCATATTTTTAAAATTGTAACCCTTATACCTTCCATATTCTTCTCAAGATATATCATGGACAAGAGACTACCGAATACTAGGATTATTCTTGGTGACAATGAAGATTAACATCTATGAATGAGAAGATGGTTAAAAATTCATACTAACAGTTTGACGTCATACAAGTTACTCTTATTTAAGTGTCTATATATTCTTTGAAAAATAAGTTTTAACTATGAATTCCACAATCGTTAAGTTATACTCAACTATACATTGCAATTTACATGGTACATATTTATAAAAGTATATTGTTAACTAATAATTATGAATAAATTTATGCCAAAAAATAACTAAATAATTTTCAAGACCTTTATGTTTTATAAAATTTCATACTACTTATTTTTGTTTAAGTAGCTAAATGATAATAGCGTCAATGTTTGTTGCCCTATTTACGTGTATTGGATTTACTTAAGTTGTAGAATTATGGTCTACTATGATATTAGTACTGCGCTAATAATAGACCTAGTCCTAAAATTTTAGACTTGTCATAATATAACTGCCTAATCTATAAGATCTTACGTAGAAGTCATACCATCGTCTACACCAACTCATCGTATCGTAACAATCACCAATACATGATGTATAACAAGCTTAGGCTGGAGATAGAACAATATATTTAATATGAATAAAAGATATAAGGTGACATTCAGTAGGGACCACGCCTGCAAGGCCGAGCCATGCCATTCGATCAACTCCAATTCACTCAATAAATTCTTCCCACCTTCTCCATCGTTAGGTATTTCTCCGCGTTAAATATTGAATATCTATTTTCCGAGTTGTCTCGTGTTCAGCTTTGAGGATTGTGTGGTTATGGTCCAATGCCATTACAAAGTTAGACCACGGTGAGCTAACAAAATATACGTGATTTTTATCGATTTAAACTTTGATACAGTTATTAGCAGATAGAAATTCCCATCATATTTCAAGTAAAATCATCATGAAAACATGTTGATTTCCCTGGTCAACTAGAATGTGTAATCCTAGAGTCTAATCGATAACACAGTTTCAATTATATTATAGTTAATTTGTAAATATTTTGATTAATTATTTTATTTACTCCATAGTACTAACTGATTTATAGCGAGAAATTTGATAATTTTACCGCTTAACTGTTGATATCTTGTAGTAGATTATTTTATTCAATCCCCTAATTATTTCGAAGCATTCTGTTCAGAATAAAAGTTGTTAACATTTCCAGATAAGCTTAACGCCAAACTTTCTAATTTTTGCGTCTTCACCAGTTCCCTTTATTTCGGTTGTTACAAAGAACTGTTAAATTCAGGCACTATCAAATACAACGGCCTCTTTAACCTTGATAGAGTATTTTTAATGCCACGTATCGAATTCCTCACATAAGCGTTATGAAACAACACGTGTTCAGTTCTTCTAATACTACTTCACTCACAATCTACAAAATGTTCAACAGTCTCTAATGGTTAACAATTTTTGATTCATTAACACTGAGATTTTTCAGAAGCAAACATAATCAGAATGATCAATTCATTCCTAAGAGAATGTTTGGTTATTTTTCAATGGAAAAATAATCGGTATTCGAAGTTTTGGTCAGTAGTTGAACTGCAATGAGTATTTCCATAACTACATCTGATTAACAAGCATCAAATATCTAATCATTAAAAATTAACAACTCTAGAGAGAATATATCCTTGACTAATTAACCTAATTAAGGAATATATTATACTGTATAGTAAACTCTTTAAGAATATAGGATTTTCATAAACAGTCTAGTTTTTGTTTCACAATATGTTCAAACGCTTAGAGGAAATTGTATACCATCATAGGACTAATTTTATTTAAACATTTAAAAGAATCCTAGATCTCACTAAGTTCGATTCCTTTACTATATTGATTTGTTCTGTGAAACGTTATCAACATATTCGTGAATTATCTTAAAAACAAATATATCTATCATAGATCTAACATAGATTTTTATAACCATTTACTATGAGTTATGATTGATGCAGTCAAAAGTTGACTCAAATTGTTAAACACAAATTTTACAGGTAATTTACCATAAACGTTTTTGAAAGCAAAAATATAGTTTTAACTGGCTCATTAATTCAACTAATAAATTGCTAAAATCTCCACAAAACCTCCTTCTGATAATAATCATCATGTGCTCACTAGTGACCGACTTCAAGAGGTATTTCTTGGAGTAGTAGTGAGAAACCGTGACCAGTGAAGTTCAATTAGGTCTGTTGTGACATAGTAACTCACTGAAGACAATGGTGGATGGTGACGCAATATTGTGGATTGGATGAAGTTAAACGATAACACCATTCGATATCAACTCAATGGTCTAGAGGTTAAGCGTTCGTTCATGAGAGACTGATAGGTTCCGTGTTCGACTCTCGAAAATATCGTGGATGCTCACTGCTAAAGTGTTCCATACTAAGACAAAACGACTGTCCAGTGCTTACAGGTTTTCCATGGTGGTCTCCCTTTAATTGACTCATGAATTCAACTATTAAAATGACCAAAAACCTCCACAAAATTCTTTTCTGCAAATGCATAAGATTTTAATTTTTGTTGTTGTTGTACGACATTTTCTTCTTTTCCCTTATTTCTTCATTTCCCTAACATTCAAAAACTGTACGCTATACATATAAATTAGTAAGCATATTGTAAAAATAAAATAAGTAATTAAAAGTTGATTGTAGAAAAAAGAAAAAGAAAAAAAGTGTTTCTTATATAACAGAAATAATAACGCGAAATAAAAGAAAATAAAAAGAGAGGAAAGAAATTAGAGGAGATATAAATAGATATATTCGAAATAAGGAAAAATGTAATTAATTAATAATTTCTTCGTTTACATTTAATTCCATAACTGATAACACGTCCATCATCATTGATTTGTGGAATACGTTTATCTCGTATAAAATAAATTGGACAATGATATTGTTTTGGACAAATGCATGGTACTCGACCACCATAAATATAACCATCTGTACTTGGTGTTTCAATATAACAAAAATCATCCACTTTACATTGAGGCTAGAAGAACAGTACAATAAAAGCAGTTGATAAATAGCTAAGAAGAAATAAATTTAATTTTATGTTTCTATTAAAAGAATACGCAAATGACATAATCCTGTTTGATGAAGACGCTGATAAAATGAAGAGTCTTTTGGTAGCTCCAAGCAACAATCCCAGAATGTTTGGAATGCGCTTCTCTCCTTCTAAATGCAAGTTTTTGCTTCAGGACTGGTCTGCGTCAACACCTGAACTAAGGATAGGGTGTGAAGTAGTCGAACGCGTTGACAACCTCACATATCTTGGAAGTCTGATCAGCCCTAATGGGTTGGTGTCTGACGAAATCTCCACACGGATTCGAAAAGCTCGTTTGGCTTTTGACAGCTTACGTCACCCATGGTGAAGGCAAGATATCCGTCTATCAATAAAAGGACGAGTATACTGCGCGGCAGTCCGTTCTGTTTTACTTTACGGCAGCGAAACACGGCCTTTAAGAGTAGAAGACACTCGTAAGCTACTAGTATTTGACCACAGATGCCTTGGAAATATTGCTGGCGTCTGTTGGGATCACCGGGTAAGTAATAGTGAGGTTGGACGCAAGGTATTATGGAATGATGGTAAGTCAGTCGATGAGGTTGTGAATCTTCATCGACTGAGATGGTTGGGCCACGTGTTACGTATGCCTGAACACCGATTACCACGACGTGCAATGTTAACCGGTGCTGGAGATGGTTGGAAGAAAGTTAGGGGCGGCCAAACCAAAACGTGGCATCAGTGCTTGAAGTCACTAACTTGTAGTCTGAGCCATGTTGGTAGATGCAGACTACTTGGTTGGGGTCCGCGTGACTATTGTAACCAATGATCTGAGACTCTGGATAGCATGGCTCAGAATCGATCATAATGGCATAGAGGTGTGTACACTTTTTGTCTTCCCTTAAACTAAGAGATTAAAATCGCTTCATATCTTTCTTTCTACGAACCAATTCTTTCTTCTTGTATTATATCTCTATATGCAATCTTTCTCTTATATATTACTACCTTTGACATAACCACTGCTATGAATCCGGTGTTCATCTTGTTGTGTTAATGAGGTATGGCAACCTGGACCGATGCACATATGTGCCTGGTCCTACGTTGTAGCTGACTGACTGACTGATTAAATGAACTAAAAGTATAAACTTGATACTTGGTAAAGGTCAATAAAAGTCATAAAGTGATGAATTGTGGATTACGCGAGTTCAAACTTTATGACGAATATCAATTCTCATAAAAATTTAGATGAACCATCTAGCAAGGTATTTACTAGTAAAATAAAGCTATTGTTCATAACGTTCTTCTAATTGTACCGAACCAACTTGTAGTGAAAAGTGGTACAGGAACTGTCGAGTTATCTTTTCTACCAAAAGAACAAAGGACTAAATATACAGAATTATACAATTAGACAACATTAGAAACATTTGAATATAGTTTCACAACCCAAAAAGATTTCGTAAAATTTAGATTATATGGTGATTTTAATCCTGTTAGATGATTAGAACTATTTTGTAGTCGATTAAATTATCCAATACCTCGAATAAAAACTTACATCTTGAACTAGACAAATTATACCTATTGATTATCTATAAATCCCAGCATTATAGTGTTATAATGTTAAAAACAGTAACAAAGATTTCTCAATGTGTTTAATCATTTTGTCGGAGCAAGAAACTTTAGACAATCATTAACAGTTTATATGTTGGACATTTCTATATTACAGTATATCAGATTCCTTGAGAATTTTGGTAATAAGAAACTATTCACAGTGTTTCGATTCCAAGAACATCCTAATCCCTTGTTCTTGCAAGTTGTCTATAGAATATGGTTCATCGATACGAAACAGTAATGTCTAAAACTAAACATGAATTATCGTATCTCTTTGGAATACACTTCTAAGGGCTTTACAAAACTCAGGAATAAACTTCAAACAAAAATGATATAAGTGATTTACAAGAGAAAAGTTTTATACTAAGATTTTGACAATGAGGAACTCTACATAATCAGAACACATAAACCAATAATTGATTGGTCCTAAATACAATACTGTAAAACTAATTTGCCAAGAATTAACTTACTAGAACTGTTTAATACTATATTTTTTAAAGTTTGTTTATATATTTCCCCGGATAATATTTCAGTCATTCTCTGTCATAATCACAACTGTACCACTCCTGAGTCATTGACTGAATTCACCAGTTACATAACACCACTGAAAACTGTTAAAACCAAGTAATTTGTTCAGATTCATCATATTACGTATGTTATGCTTCAGTTCTACGTATAAATCAGTGAGTATCTATTACCAAGTTTTAGTTTTTATCTTGAACAGCTAACACAAAGCTTAGTTCTTCCTTACTTCCATAATATTTTAGCTTAATAGACATAATGGCTCATCCTCTACAATAGGTTGACACTTATTTATGATCAGAAGGAGTTTCTGGAGATTTTAGAAATTTCACAGGTTAAAATCATGAGTCAATTGAAGCTAGACTACCATGGAAAACCTGGAAGCACTGGACGGCCGTTTCGTCGTAGTATAGGACTTCTCAGCAGTGCGCATCCATGAATCTCGCGGGGTGCAGGACCGTAGATGCGCACTGCTGAGGAGTCCCATACTAGGACGAAACGGCCGTCCAGTGCTTCCAGGTTTTCCATGGTTGTCTAGCTTCAATTGACTTATTTATTAGTAAAAATCTATCAAATTATTTGATATTCTACGAACAAGTAGGAAAAAAGTTTTAAATATTTTGAGTGACTTAAAAGTCCAAAGTCTACTTGCCTTTGTTGCACATGTCATGTGTATATAATTACCACGAAAAACGCGATCTCCGAATTGAACACCTTTACTGTATCCATAACGTTCAACATCAGCAATGCCTAAACATCGACAATTGATGCGGTCTACCATCAACCATGTCCCTATCTGCCTCAACTCAAATGCAATTTCTCCCTCTTCCATAGTGCAATAACGATGTCGCGCTTCATAGATTCTGTTACAAAAATGAGCTTGAAATTCATAATCACGCATATCTAAAAAATAAGTTTGCAAGAAAAATACAAAGTCAGACATTAACGGTTTATTTAAATTATTTTCCCTAATAAGTAGTTAACTCATTATTAGGGTTACAAGAATTGTGTGTGAAATGCAGTTGTGTTTCGAATTCTTTAATGAAGCATCTCTCCTATTTGTTTCATATAAATGTTATAGGTAAGTTACATACAAATGATGTCATGACATTTGAAACAAAGTTGGTTAAGTATGAGCAAAATATGGGAAAAATTAGCCAATTCATATGAAATACCTCCAATTAACTGGTGTGCTTCCATCTATTTTGATTATTACTAGAGAATAATACCAAGTTTTAATACAATAACCTAAAGAGCCTTTTATAAAGAATTATATGACGGTATTCTTAGTTAATATCAACTTTGTATGGATATATTCGATATGCGTAACTATGTAATATTGTATTTCCTGATATTCATCAATCAAAACGATTTATAGTTGATTTGCCTCAATTTAATTTATCATCGAATTATTCCAAAAACTACGATCTTATGAATTTACTATTACCACGTCAACTATTTTGTAAGTATAAAACTAATTGGAAGCAGCAGGATAATAATAACTGATTACGGTTTAAAATTACAAAATACCAAATTTAAAAAGGAAAAAAACAAGACCAAAACATACTGCAGAAGGGAATTAGAGCTAATGAAGGCAAACAGAGTTCGAGCTTGAATCGGTGGATCGTCAACGCCTTAGTAGTGCATAATTTTTTGATTCGACCTCCCTTACATCCAGTTCCTTTGGTTGTGCAGATTGTTTTGAAGGAGAACTCCTTTGGAGCGACGTGTCTAGAGTTGAAATAGGAACTATTCTGCATTCTTCAAATAACCTTCACAATTCGGACACGTAAATTATTTTCATCCTACCATTCTTCTCTAACCACTTTTGATATTTGAAACCTCGAATCCCTTTATGACAGAATCTTTTCTGTCTTTCCATATACATATATATTCACCAAACAACTATACATACGAGACTAATTTTCATCGCTCTATGATATCATTAAAATCATCGAGGATCTCAAACTTGAAATTTCAATGTCTGTAAGAAACTATGATTGATATCTTCTTTGACTTTCTTGAATTCATGAAATAGTGTAATTGTTTAAAAATATAATAAGTTAGTGTTGTCACTCACTTGCTACCTTTTAACTATGTATGTTTTAGCTTTAATAATCAAAAATGAAGAATATTTGAGCGAACAATTGTTTTCAATAAATTCATCATCAGGCTCTACAGTTATAAGTCCATAATTATAATATTTTACTAAGGCCAAAAATAAGGCATGTATTAATGAATTTGACAATGTTATGTGTTAAAAGTGGTGAACGTTTGTATCTGTTACGACATATATACTCCAAAATTGTGTTATTCGCAAATTAGAAAGGTCATTTAATAAAGTACAGAATGATTTGGAGTAAAGTGTCCAGTCACAATAAGTAGAATAGTATTATAGCAAAATTGAAAATGCCAAAAAAGTGTGTGAATAAATGCATAGTAGGAGAATGTAATCTTGTCAATTGAGATAATAATAAGATTGTTGTGTGAATATAATATGTAATGAGGGGGGGTGTTATAAAGGTAATTAAGACAAATGAATTAGGAATGATGGATGTGAAGATTAAGATAGAGGTAATCAAAAAAAGAAGGGGTAGGACGTTTGTAATATCCAGTTCAGGTATCCAGTGATTCAGTCGTGGGCCAAGGTAAACATAGAGGCTGAATATACCTTTTTCTGGATACATAAGTTTGATTTTCTGGAGTTGATCCAGATGGCTGCGGCGATGTAACTTTAAGTTAAAACTTAAAAGACTTCATTTCCATATTAGTATACTTTTTGTAGTAGCATTTCCATAAACTTTAAATCCATGCCTTTCTATTGTGGTAAACAGTTAATTATCAATCGGCATTTTTTACTTAAATCTTCCCATTGATGTTTAGGACTGAAATTGACTAGCCGAGACAATACGCACAGTGTGCACATATGCCAACATGAGACTTATCAATCTCAGTCCTAAACATCAATGGGAAGATTCAAGTAAAACGATACCAGGTGAATTAGACTTCACCCCATTGCACAAGCAAGTGGCTATCAGGAGTCAGTAGCTAAGTGGATAACGCGATGGCGTTTGAAGTGAACAGCACTGGGTTCGTGTTCCCAAGTGAACATCAACCCTAGAATGCAGATACATCCAGCTGACGAGTCCCAAATAGGACGAAACGCACGTCCTTGATTCCATTGCTAGCCACTGTCCATCTTTGCTTATAGTTAATCATCATACTTTCTGTATAATGATAAAATGATTAAAGAAAGGTTAGATCTTATCTTTTTTCTGAACAGTGTTGTACTTCTAATCAGTTATTGATCTGAATTGATAATTTTTGCACTAATAATTTATCATAATCTACTGATATTAATCTGTCTCCATTTAACTGAACATGTTAAAACAATCAGTTAGCTATTTGTATCTAATTGCCAATTTTATCAAATTGATCATTAAATCATATTTAACATCATATATTTACAATATTCAAATACATCAAAATATGTACAATCTTATGAAAATATAATATAAATACTAAACATTATTTAACTACTTAAATATAAAAATTTACTTACCATCAGTACCTATAAGCTTAAATGTTAATGATTTAACATCATTTGTTGGAAGCCATGTAAGTGGACAACTTGAATAACTTGAACAAATATGACGACGTTGTGCAAATGGAGATAATGAATTATAATATTTAGGCATATTAAAAAAGCCACCACGTTCAAGCCATGCACAAGGAGTTAATGATCGTCTCTGCTTAACATATAAATAAAATTAAAGTATATTATTCAAAACTTGAAATAAAGTCAGATATCAAGTAATTTTTCAGTTTAATTGAAATTTCATATGAAAACTAGAAGCTTTTTATACAAGTTATATTGGTAAAAACCTGACAATGTTTTAAGGATTGTCTAATAGTCACTTTGTACATGACTAATATACAAACATCAAACATTTGACTAAAATACCGTTTACCTCAGATTGTCTAGTGATTGATTGATGATTGAATCACCAAGGTCGATGAATACGTGTGGTTTGTTTAGAACCAAATTTTTATATCACTCGTGAAACTGGTTTATGACGTATAGAGCAATGAAACCATTTAACTCAGTGTAAGCGTATAGAAAAATGATTATTTAGAATATAGTAACATCCATACATTCTTCCATTGAAGATAATAATTAATTTTGAAATTATCGGTTAAACTTGTACATTAGTCTATCAGTTTCTTTCATGAAAAGATTTTACAGCCTCAAACTCATTGTCAAGTAATCATATGCTTCCTATTTTATTTCACACAAGCAAAAATGTGTGCCAAATTTCATAATTGTCTATCAATTAAAAAATGATTGATGTTAATTATCAAAATAATTTCTGACAAATGATATCAATCGGTAGATGAATGGTATTCATAAATAACCATATCGGTGATTTGTTTCCGTTTGGGTTCTTCGGATGTAAGGAGCATTACTTGCCTGTTCCACAACAAAAATCAATTTTTCAAGTTTGATGATGTACGTTTAGCGAATTGAATAAGTCCCCAATATAGCATACTAAAATCTTTTCCCCAGAAGTGGTTAATCATCAGTCTCATTGATTATATTTAGGGTTGGATGAATTTCCAATAAGTGATAGTTTTATCAAAACTTCAGGAATTCAATGTCTACAAAGAACACTATTAAAATATATTGCTCACATCTTGAGCTTCATTAACTTCATGTAATAGACAATTTTAAAATGTTTTTAGAATTGAAACAAGCCAAATAAATGATGAGATGGTTATGGCTCATTCAATATATTTGTTATGTTTTCTGCTGAAACATGAAAACATTTGCGGTTGTCTTGGATTCATATTAAGAACAACATAAGTTTGAATACACTGATGATAGTAATCATGATACTAATACGTCATGTATACGTTTTTAGCTTTAAAGATATGAATACGTGCGGTATAGATTAGCGATATTTTTATACACAGATTTACACAGTAAGTTAATCATCAACACATTCAGTGCACTTAGTTCCCTTGATAAACGTTTGTTAAGGAAAACAAAAATCATTGTGTGATGAAATGAATTCAGCTAACTTCGTTTATTCCAGATCTTCTTTGTACACGAACCGATTTGTATAAATAAATAAAGCGTTCGTATATGGTTTAACAAAATGAAAATTCTAGTCTCCACAAAACATTATAATAAAAATTTGAAATATTTTGAATACAAGTGAATAGAAAGAAGAAGGAAGAAAAGGCATGAGATCCATCATCATGGCAGTGTAAGGTGAATCATAAGTTCCTATGATATACACAAATGAAAGGTGACAATGAATAGTGGCTATTTCTGCTTAACCTAAAAGTTCGACCGTATTCTGTTCATTCATTGCTCGAAATGAAATAACAGTAACGAGTGAATCCTTCATACCCTTTATATTTTCCAGTTGTACGGCTAAATACTTTTAGGCCATTCATATCCAACTTCTTTAGCATATGTCCCGATATTTTGCTAGGCAATCCCATCTTTGTTCTTACAATGTACGTCCTACTACAGTTCCAGGTAAATACGTACGGTAGTAATAAGTACACACATAATAATTACCATTATTATCACTATTACTTTATAAGTGACGATAATATCTACCTCAAAATTTATCAAAATCCTCTATTATGTTAAAGCAGTATATTTAGAATTATCTCATCACCTATTGACTTGTAGGTGTTTGTAATGAAAGTAGTAGGATAAGAGACTGAAAACTGTCTTTCTATGCAAAAATATGATGTTAAAATTTAATAGATAATATCTCTCTTATACACTCAACATAATAATAAAGCTTAAGATCTTATCAAAATAATAACAGGTATATATTGAATAATTCAGAATTTTAATTCTACCCTTTTCTAACCACTTTCATAATAACCAAGAAATTCATCGTTTTTATTTAATCAACTATCAAAATAGATTTTATTTGTGGAAAAGCAGATGTATCTAAGACAGATGATTTACTGGTGTTACTCCGAAGCTTTCATCGAAGTTCTGAATAACATTAGCAGCCACTGGTTTGTGGAAAAAAAGTGAAAAGGAACGCTCAAAATGCACATTGTATTGGATACCAACGATTTTATTCACAATCATAACGATATGCTCCCAAATAAACCATACCATATAAGAGGATAATGTAAAATTTCAGCACTGACCACTGACATTCAATATATGTGGGGAAAATCTTCTTTATAAACAATTTTTTCATGATTGCTACTGATTTACTCAAAAATCGAATAAAACATTTCCCATAATACAAAGTTATACATTACGAATATACACATAAAATAGTTTCAAAACTAGATCTAAGTAATCTTTAAGTACATTTTAAAATGAAATCGCAACTACTTCTAAGTACAATAAGATATACACCAAATGTTTAGTTAAATGTCTTTAGGCCTAAGAAAAATTCATTATTCACATGAACGATATAATAGAAATCATGTATTCAACATTCTGACTGAAATAGAAACTTTAACTTTCTTTAGAAACTGTTAAATTGACTTAACAACCTTTTATTAGTTGTGAAAATGTAATTGATTAGGAATGAATTCCGTCAGTTAAATAGAATTCATAATATAGATTGGTGTATAACTGACTAAACCTAAATCACACAATCATCTATGAGTTCAGGAATACGTATTCATGTTCATTTCTGTAATAAAGACTTTGCATATAATATTATCATTCAACCAGAAAAAAAATATAAGATCATTAACTAATAAATTGTTTTATTCATTATTCGATAAAGAGTTTACGACAGTAATTTCGCCTTTATTATGGATCATGATTAAGTTACCCTATTCACACCAATTAGGGTATTGTCCACATACAATTCAAATAGTTTACAGTTGTGGTAACAATAATTCAAAGCTAAAGTCTTCAGAAGTTTAAAAATCCCCATAGAAAATTCAAAAAAGAAGAATATTTGAGCGAACAATTGTTTTCAATAACTTCATCATCAGGCTCTACAGTTATAAGTCCATAATTATAATATTTTACAAAGGCCAAAAATAAGGCATGTTTTAATGAGTTTGACAATGTTTAAATTTAACTTACATTTTATCGAAAAATTTCGTCATATTAATAAATTAAACCAGTATAGTTTCTTAATTAGATCACTGTTCATCATCAATATTTTTCTGAATTAATTAATCGGTACAATATAAGAACCTTCATCTGGTTTGAGTAATATTAAATTTCACTGATTGAAATCATGAGTCAATTGAAGCTAGACCACCATGGAAAACCTGGAAGCACTGGACGGCCGTTTTATTTTAGTATGGGACTCATCAGCAGTTCGCCAGGCGCTTAACCAACTAGACTACTGAGCCGGCACCCAACGGTGTTAATGTCTAACTGGGTTTGAATCTCGCGGGGAGCGGGATCGCAGATGAGCACTGCTGAGGAGTCCCATACTAGAATGAAACGGCCTTCCAGTGCTTCCAGGTTTTCCATGGTGGTCTAGCTTCAATCGACTAATGATTTCAATCAGTGAAATTTCTGAAATCTCCACAAAACCCCTTCTGATAATATTAAATTGTCACTTTTATGTAAAACATTGTAATGTGTTTTTGTCATGAGTATAGATTGAAAGGATAGTTTAGCATGAAATTAGTAAGCTATATACAACAACATTGATATAAACCAGTCACATTTGTTTCTATTTCAAAAATTCAGGTCACATAACTGACTGTTATACATTTTCCGGTAAAACCATCTGAATCAATTCTATAAGTAGATTTACAAGGGGCGTAAGACAACGAAACAAACGGAATTATAATCATTAGAATAAGTATTTCTGATCTTCAACTTCTCTTTGAAGGTTACAATACTTTTGTACTAGATTACAATAAGTAATTGAAATGTAAAAACAAAAGAAAATTATTACCAACTAATGATTTGAGTATACTTTACAAGATCCCAAACATGATATAACACAGTCAAAAGTAGAAATATTTAGATATACCATGTCAAAAGTAGCCTTAAAAAACAGAAATCTTAACTAATAATAATTTATTTATACAGTTTTATTAGTCAGTTGTACGATATAAATGATACTATCTGTTACGGTTGATATGGTCCATCTTTAAATAAATATAGACTGATGATTTGTGTCACATTCAAAAAAAGAATTGCTAAAATCAACCTAATCGATTTTAATAATTTAATGATTGAATTCATGAGCCAGTTAAATCTAGACCATCATGGAAAACCTGGTGGATTAGTTGAAGTTGGACATTAACACTGTTGGATGCCGGCCGGCTCAATGATCTAGAGTTTAAGCGTTCGCGCGCGTGACCGATAGGTCCTGGGTTTGAATCTCACGGGGAGGGATCGTGGATACGCACTGCTGAGAAGTTCCATACTAAGAAGGAACGGCCGTCTAGGGCTTCCAGGTTTTCCACGATGGTCCAGCTTCAATTCGCCTCATAAATTCAACCATTAAAATTATCTTTCATATTCAGATCAACTGAGTACTATGTTGTAAACTGGAATGAAGAAATCCATTAATTAAATTTAAATGAATAAAAGTTAAATAGTTACATCAACAAACTCTATCCATATGGATACCTGGACAGCTTGATAAATATATTTCATTCCAATCAATATGACATAAAATAAAAATGACTTTATTCATAAAATCATTCACGTGAATATTTATATTATATTTTGAACAAGATATCTGTTGGAAGAAAAAGATTATTTAAGTATTCA